ACCCCAACCCCCTTCCGGTCCCCCCCCACCCCCTTTTTCCCCCCCCCCCCCCCCCCCCCCAGACCCCCCCCCCCCCCCCCCTCCCGTGACCCCCCCCATGACCCCCCTCGGGACCCCCCCCCTCCCCCCCTCACCTCCCCTCTCGGCTCCGCTCGGCTCCGTCCGGCGCGCCCAGCCCCGCCCCTCGCACCACGTGACCCCGGCCACGCCCCCCACCGGAGCTACCTGGCCTCGGAGGCCACGCCCACACCTGCGGAAGGGGGCGGGGTCAGAAGGGGGCGGGGCTTGCGCCGTGCACCTGCTGAAGCCACGCCCCCCCCCCGTGATCCGCGCATGCGCAGTGCGGCGGGAGCGCCAACGCAGGGTCCTAGCGCGCACCTCCATGTAGGGAGCGCCCCAAATGAGGGGGACCCCGAGACCCACAACCACTTATGGGGGGGGGGACGGGACATAGGGGTCCCTATGGGGGGGGTGGGGGTCAGTATAAGGGGGTGTCCAATTAGGGGGGCTCCTATGGGGCGTTCTCATGGGAGGGGTTCAAATGGGGGGGTCCCTATGGGGGGTCCCTATGGGGGGGGGGTGTCCCTATGGGGGGGTCCCATTTGGGGTGGGTCCCTATGGGGAGGTCCCTATGGGGGGAGGGGGGGTCCCTATGGGGGGGTCCCTATGGGGGGGGGTGGGTCCCTATGGGGGTGTCCCTATGGGGGGGTCCCATTTGGGGTGGGACCCTATGGGGGGGGGGGTGGGTCCCTATGGGGGGGTCCCTTGGGCGGTGTCCCTATGGGGGGATCCCATTGAGGGTGGGTCCCTATGGGGGGGTCCGTATTGGGGGGGGAGGGGGGTCCCTATGGGGGGGGTCCGGGAGGGGGGGGTTCCCATTTGGGGTGGGTCCCTATTGGGGGCTCCTTTGGGGGGGGGGGTCCCTATGGGGGGTCCCTATGGGGGGGGGGTGGGTCCCTATGGGGGGGTCCGTTGGGGGGGGTCCCTATGGAGGGATCCCATTGAGGGTGGGTCCCTATGGGAGGGTCCGTATTGGGGGGGGGAGGGGGGTCCCTATGGGGGGGTCCGGGAGGGGGGGGGTCCCTATGGGGGGGGTCTCATTTGGGGTGGGTCCCTATGGGGAGGGCCGGGGGGGGGTGGGTCCCTATGGGGGGTCCCATTTGGGGGGGGGTCCCTATGGGGGGGCAATTGGAGGGGGTCCCTATGGGGGGTTCCTGTGGGGGGGTCCAATTGGGGTGGGGTCCCTATGAGGGGTTCCTATAGGGGGTTCCCTGGGGGGGGATCCATTGGCGGGTCCCATCTGGGGTTTCCCTATGGGGGGTTCCTATGGGGGGGGCCCTATGGGGGGTCCCTATGGGGGGTTCCTATGGGGAGTCCCTATGGGGGGGTCCATGGGGGGGGCCCTATGAGGGGTCCCTATGGGGGGTTCCTATGGGGAGTCCCTGTGGGGGGTCCCTATGGGGGGGCCAATTGGAGGGGGTCCCTATGGGGGGTTCCTAAGGAGGGGTCCAATTGGGGGGGGGGGGGGGTATTTGGGGGGGTCCCTATGGGGGGTCCCTATGGGGGGTTCCTATGGGGGGTCCCTATAGGGGGGTCCCTATGGGGGGTCCTTATGTGGGGGTCCCTATAGGGGGGTCCCTATGGGGGGAGATGCGCTTGGGGGGGGGGGGGCCTCTTTCTGCCCCCCCCCCCTTTGCCGCAGTGGGGGGGGCTCAGAAGGGGGCGGAGCTCTCCGGGAGGACGGCGGCCAATCAGGAGCCGCCGCGGCCCCGCGGCCCCCGCGCTATCGCGAGGTCTCTGTCGCGACAGCGGCAGCCCCGTGCGCCATGGCCGTGGTGTCCGGTTACTTCTTCCTGGAGGTACGGGGGGGGGGGGGGCGGATCTATGGGGTGCCCCATAGGGATGCGGTGGGGATCTGTGGGGTTCCCTATAGGGATGTGATGGGGATCCATGGGGTGCCCCATAAGTGTGTGATGGAGATCCATGGGGTGCCCCATAGGGATGCGATGGGATCTATGGGGTGCCCCATAGGGATGCGATGGGATCTATGGGGTGCCCCATAGGGGTGCGATGGGATCTATGGGGTGCCCCATAGGGATGCGATGGGATCTATGGGGTGCCCCATAGGGGTGCGATGGGATCTATGGGGTGCCCCATAGGGATGCGGTGGGGATCCATGGGGTGCCCCATAGGGATGTGATGGAATCTATGGGGTTCTCCATAGGGATGCGATGGGATCTATGGGGTGCCCCATAGGGATGCGATGGGGATCCATGGGGTGCCCCATAGGGATGTGATGGAATCTATGGGGTTCTCCATAGGGATGCGATGGAACCTATGGGGTGCCCCATAGGGATGCGGTGGGGATCTGTGGTGTTCCCTATAGGGATGTGATGGGGATCCATGGGGTGCCCCATAAGTGTGTGATGGAGATCCATGGGGTGCCCCATAGGGATGCGTTAGGGATCTATGGGGTGCCCCACAGTGATGTGATGGGCATCCATGGGTGCCCCATAATGGTGTGATGGAGATCCATGGGGTGCCCCATAAGGGTGCAGTGGGGATCTATGGGGTTCCCCATAGGGATGCTTTGGGGATCTATGGGGTGCCCTATAGGGATGCGATGGGATCTATGGGGTTCCCCATAGAGATGCAGAGGAGATCTATGGGGTGCCTCATAGGGATGTGGTGGGGATCTGTGGGGTTCCCCATAGGGATGCAATGGAGATCTATGGGGTGCCCCATAGGGATGCGAGGGGATCTATGGGGTGCCCTACAGAGATGTGATGGGCATCCATGGGGTGCCCCATAATGGTGTGATGGAGATCCATGGGGTGCCCCATAAGGGTGCAGTGGGGATCTATGGGGTTCCCCATAGGGATAGAGATCTATGGGGTGCCTCAGAGGGATGTGGTGGGGATCTGTGGGGTTCTCCATAGGGATGTGTTAGGGATCTATGGGGTGCCCCATAGGGATGCGTTAGGGATCTATGGGGTGCCCCACAGCGATGTGATGGGCATCCATGGGGTGCCCCATAATGGTGTGATGGAGATCCATGGGGTGCCCCATAGGAGTGTGGTGGAGATCTATGGGGTTCCCCATAGGAGTGTGATTCGATCTATGGGGTGCCCCATAGGGAATACGATGGGGATCTATGGTGTGCTGCATAGGGATGGTTTCAAAGGTCTCTGTGGGTCTCTATGGGTCTCTATGGTCTCTATGGGTCTGTATGGGTCCCTGTGGGTCTCTATGATGTCTCTCTATGGTTTCTATGGGTCTCTATGATGTCTGTGGGTCTCTCTGGGTCTCTGTGGGTCCCTATGGGTCTCTATGGTCCCTGTGAGTTCCTATGGGTCTCTATGGTCTCTCTCTATGGTCTCTATGGGTCTCTATGGGTCCCTATGGGTGCAGGTTTTGATCCTTGGTTTCATGGCCATTCTCCGGTACCTGCTGGAGTTCAATGGGTCTCTATGGGTCTCTATGGTCTCTATGGGTCTCTATGGTCTCTATGGGTCTCCATGCCCTCTCTATGGTCTCTCTATGGTGTCTCTATGCTCTCTCTATGCTCTCTCTATGGTGTCTCTATGATGTCTCTATGGTGTCTCTATGGTGTCTCTATGATGTCTCTATGGTGTCTCTATGGTGTCTCTATGATGTCTCTATGGTGTCTCTATGATGTCTCTATGGTGTCTCTATGATGTCTCTATGGTGTCTCTATGCTCTCTCTATGCTCTCTCTATGCTCTCTATGGTGTCTCTATGGTGTCTCTATGATGTCTCTATGGTGTCTCTATGGTGTCTCTCTGATGTCTCTCTGATGTCTCTATGGTGTCTCTATGCTCTCTCTATGCTCTCTCTATGCTCTCTATGGTGTCTCTATGGTGTCTCTATGGTGTCTCTCTGATGTCTCTATGATGTCTCTATGGTGTCTCCATGATGTCTCTATGGTGTCTCTATGGTGTCTCCATGGTGTCTCCATGGTGTCTCTATGGTGTCTCTATGATGTCTCTATGGTGTCTCCATGATGTCTCTATGGTGTCTCTATGGTGTCTCCATGGTGTCTCCATGATGTCTCTATGGTGTCTCTATGGTGTCTCTATGCTCTCTCTATGCTCTCTATGGTGTCTCTATGATGTCTCTATGGTGTCTCTATGATGTCTCCATGATGTCTCTATGGTGTCTCTATGATGTCTCTCTGATGTCTCTATGGTGTCTCTATGGTGTCTCTATGAGGTCTCTATGGTGTCTCTATGGTGTCTCTATGGTGTCTCTGTGGTGTTTCTGTGATGTCTCTATGATGTCTCTATGATGTCTCTATGGTGTCTCTATGGTGTCTCCATGATGTCTCTATGGTGTCTCTATGGTGTCTCTATGGTGTCTCTATGATGTCTCTATGGTGTCTCTATGGTGTCTCTATGGTGTCTCTATGGTGTCTCTATGGTGTCTCTATGATGTCTCTCTGGTGTCTCTATGGTGTCTCTATGCTCTCTCTATGCTCTCTCTATGCTCTCTATGATGTCTCTATGGTGTCTCTATGGTGTCTCTCTGATGTCTCTCTGATGTCTCTATGGTGTCTCCATGATGTCTCTATGGTGTCTCTATGATGTCTCTATGATGTCTCTATGATGTCTCTATGATGTCTCTATGATGTCTCTATGATGTCTCTATGATGTCTCTATGATGTCTCTATGGTGTCTCTATGATGTCTCTATGATGTCTCTATGGTGTCTCTATGGTGTCTCTATGGTGTCTCTATGGTGTCTCTATGATGTCTCTATGGTGTCTCTATGATGTCTCTATGATGTCTCTATGGTGTCTCTATGGTGTCTCTATGGTGTCTCTATGGTGTCTCTATGATGTCTCTATGATGTCTCTATGGTGTCTCTATGGTGTCTCTATGATGTCTCTATGATGTCTCTATGGTGTCTCTATGGTGTCTCTATGGTGTCTCTATGGTGTCTCTGTGATGTCTCTATGGTGTCTCTATGGTGTCTCTATGATGTCTCTATGGTGTCTCTATGGTGTCTCTATGGTGTCTCTATGATGTCTCTATGATGTCTCTATGGTCTCTCTATGATGTCTCTATGGTGTCTCTATGGTGTCTCTATGGTGTCTCTATGGTGTCTCTATGGTGTCTCTATGGTGTCTCTATGGTGTCTCTATGATGTCTCTATGATGTCTCTATGGTCTCTCTATGATGTCTCTATGGTGTCTCTATGGTGTCTCTATGGTGTCTCTATGGTGTCTCTATGCTCTCTCTATGGTGTCTCTATGATGTCTCTATGATGTCTCTATGCTCTCTCTATGCTCTCTCTATCCCCTCTCTCTGGTGTCTCTCTGGGGTCCCTCTCCCTGGCCCCCCCCTGCCCCCCGTCGCTCCTCCCCCAGGTTCTCATCCTCTGCTCCGTGGCCTCCCTTTGGTACCTCCTGGAGTTCTCGGAGCCGTTCCCGGTGCCCCAGGGCGGGTTCTTCTGCCGGGACCCCGCTTTCGGCCGCCCCTACCCCGGCCCCCCCGGCGCCAGCCGCGCCCCCCCCGCGCTCGTCTACGGGCTCGTCACCGCCGTGCCCGCGCTCACCGTGAGGGGGGCACTTGTGGGGCTGGGGGGGGAAGGGCACTTGTGGGGCTGGGGGCACTTGTGGGGCTGGGGGGCACTGGTCTGGCTGGAGGGGGAGAAGGGCACTTGTTGGGCTGGGGAGAGGGGGGGAAGGGCACTTGTGGGGCTGGGGGGGAAGGGCACTTGTGGGGCTGGGGGGAGGGGGGAAGGGAACTTGTGGAGCTGGGGGGGGCACTTGTGGGGCTGGGGGGGAGGGCACTTGTGGGCCTGGGGGGGCACTTGGGCTGGGGGGGCACTTGTGGGGCTGGGGGGGCACTTGTGGGGCTGGGGGGGGAAGGCAGTTGTGGGGCTGGGGGGAGGGGGAAAGGGAACTTGTGGGGCTGGGGGGCACTTGGGGGCTGGGGGGGGAAGGGCACTTGTGGGGCTGGGGGGAGGGAAGGGCACTTGTGGGGCTGGGGGGCACTTGTGGGGCTGGGGGGGAGGGCACTTGTGGGGCTGGGGGGGGAAAGGCACTTGTGGGGCTGGGGGGAGGGGGGAAGGGAACTTGTGGGGCTGGGGGGCACTTGTGGGGCTGGGGGGGGAAGGGCACTTGTGGGGCTGGGGGGCACTTGTGGGGCTGGGGGGCACTTGTGGGGCTGGGTGGGGCACTTGTGGGGCTGGGGGAGAGGGCACTTGTGGGGCTGGGGGGGCACTTGGGCTGGGGGGGGCACTTGTGGGGCTGGGGGGAGGGGGGGAAGGGCACTTGTAGGGCTGGGTGGGGCACTTGTGCAGCTGGGGGGGGAAGGGCACTTGTGGGGCACTTGTGGGGCTGGAGGTGGGAGGGAAGGGCACTTGTGGGGTTGGGGAGAGGGAAGGGCACTTGTGGGGCTGGCGGGGAGGGCACTTGTGGGGCTGGGGGAGAGGGCACTTGTGGGGCTGGGGGGGAGGGCACTTGTGGGGCTGGGGGAGAGGGCACTTGTGGGGCTGGGGGGGCACTTGGGCTGGGGGGGCACTTGTGAGGCTGGGGGAGGGGGGAAGGGCACTTGTTGGGTGCTGGGGGGGGACACTTGTGGGGCTGGGGAGGGCACTTGTGGGGCTGGGGGGCACTTGTGGGGCTGGGGGGGAGGGCACTTGTGGGGCTGGGGGGCACTTGGGCTGGGGGAGAGGGCACTTGTGGGGCTGGGGGGGCACTTGGGCTGGGGGGGGCACTTGTGGGGCTGGGGGAAGGGGGGGAAGGGAACTTATGGGGCTGGGGGGGCACTTGTGGGGCTGGGGGCACTTGTGGGGCTGGGTGGGGCACTTGTGGGGCTGGGGGGGAAGGGCACTTGTGCGGCTGGGGGGAGGGGGGAAGGGAACTTGGGAGGGCACTTGTGGGGCTGGGGGGGGCACTTGGGCTGGGGGGGCACTTGTGGGGCTGGGGGGGCACTTGTGGGGCTGGGGGGGGAAGGCAGTTGTGGGGCTGGGGGGAGGGGGAAAGGGAACGTGGGGCTGGGGGGCACTTGTGGGGCTGGGGGGGCACTTGTGGGGCTGGGGGGGGAAGGGCACTTGTGGGGCTGGGGGGGGCACTTGTGGGGCTGGGGGGGCACTTGGGCTGGGGGGGCACTTGTGGGGCTGGGGGGCACTTGTGGGGCTGGGGTGGAAAGGCAGTTGTGGGGCTTGGGGGAGGGGGGAAGGGAACTTGTGGGGCTGGGGGGCACTTGTGGGGCTGGGGGGGGAAGGGCACTTGTGGGGCTGGGGGGAGAAGGGAACTTGTGGGTCTGGGGGGCACTTGTGGGGCTGGGGGGGGAAGGGCACTTGTGGGGCTGGGGGGGGCACTTGTGGGGCTGGGGGGGCACTTGTGGGGCTGGGGGGGAAAGCACTTGTGGGGCTGGGGGGCACTTGTGGGGCTGGGGGGGCACTTGTGGGGCTGGGGGGCACTTGTGGGGCTGGGGGGAAAGGCAGTTGTGGGGCTGTGGGGAGGGGGGAAGGGAACTTGTTGGGCTGGGGGACACTTGTGGGGCTGGGGGGGAAGGGCACTTGTGGGGCTGGGGGGCACTTGTGGGGCTGGGGGGGGAAGGGCACTTGTGGGGCTGGTGAGGGTCGATGGGGGAGGTTGGGAGGGGGTACTTGGGGTGGTGGGGGCAGTTACAGTCCTAAGGGGGGTTTGTTGTGGGTCGCAGGGGTCACTTGTGGTTCAGGGAGGTGACTTGGGGGTCACTTGTGGGTCTGGGGGCTCACTTGGGGGTCACTTGTGGGTCTGGTGGGGTCACTTGTGGGTCTGAGGGGTCACTTGTGGGTCAGAGAGGTCACTTGGGGGCCACTTGCGGGTAACCTGTGGGTGGGAGGGGTCACTTGTGGGTCTGGGGGGTCACTAGGGGGTCACTTGTGGGTCAGGGAGGTCACTTTGGGGTCACTTGTGGGTCTGGGGGGTCACTAGGGGGTCACTTGTGGGTCAGGGAGGTCACTTTGGGGTCACTTGGGGGTCACTTGTGGGTCTCGGGGGTTACTTGAGGGTCAGGGAGGTCACTTGGGGGTCACTTGGGGGTAACGGTGGGAGGGGTCACTTGTGGGTCTGGGGGGAGTCACTTTGGGGTCACTTGTGGGTCAGGGAGGTCACTTGTGGGTCACTTGGTAATTTGTGAGTCTGGGGTCTCACTTGGGTGTAACTTGTGGGTGGGAGGGGTCACTTGTGGGTCTGGGAGGGGTCACTTGTGGGTCTGGGGGGGGTCACTTGAGGGCCTCAGGGGTCACTAGGGGGTCACTTGTGGGTTAGGGAGGTCACTTGTGGGTCACTTGTGGGTAACATGGGTGGGAGGGGTCACTTGTGGGTCAGGGAGGTGACTTTGGGGTCACTTGTGGGTCTGGGGGGTCACTAGGGGGTCACTTCTGGGTCAGGGGGGTCACTTGGGGGTCACTTGGGGGTCACTTGTGTGTGCCACTTGTGGGTCTGGAGATCACTTGTGGGTCAGGGAGGTCACTTTGGGGTCACTTGGGGTCAGGGGGGTCACTTGGGGGTCACTTGGGGGTCAGGGGGGTCACTTGGGGGTCTTGGTGCTGTCCCTGCAGATGGTGCTGGGTGAGCTCTTGGGGCCCCTCGGGCGGTGCCGGGGGGGCCCTGCCCCACCTCCGCTGTGGGGCCAGAGCTGCGGAGCCCCCCTGAGGCGGCTGCTGCGGTACCTGGGTGAGGGGGGGCAAAGGGGGCCTCATAGCCCCCATTGTGCCCCATAGCCCCCATTGTGCCCCATAGCCCCCATTGTGCTCCATTACCCCCACTGTGCCCCATAGCCCCCATTGTGCCCCATAGCCCCCATTGTGCTCCATTACCCCCACTGTGCCCCATAGCCCCTGTTGTACCCCATAGACCCCGTTGTGCCCCATAGACCCCCACTGTGCCCCACAGACCCCACTGTGCCCCACAGACCCCATTGTGCCCCTTGTGCCCCACAGACCCCATTGTGCCCCATAGACCCCCACTGTGCCCCACAGACCGCATTGTTCCCCATAGCCCCCATTGTGCCCTAGTCCCCATTGTGCCCCATAGACCTTACTGTGCCCCATAGACCCCCATTGTACCCCATAGCCCCCACTTTGCCTCACAGCTGCATGGTGACCCAAAGACCCCCATTGTGCCCCACAGACCCCATTGTGCCCCACAGCCCCCCTTGTGCCCCATAGCCCCCATTGTGCCACAGACACCCACTGTACCCCATTGTTCCCCACTGTACCCCATAGCCCCCCATTGTTCCCCATATCCTCCATAGCTCCCCACTGTACCCCATATCCCCCATATCCCCCACTGTACCCCATATCCCCCATAGTCCACCATATCTCCCACTGTACTCCATAGCCTGCACTGTACCCCATATCCCCCATAGCCCCCCACTGTTCCCCATAGACCCCATATCCCCCACTATACCCCATAGCCCCCCACCGTACCCCACTGTTCCCCACTGTACCCTATATCCCCCATAGACCCCATTATACCCCACTGTACCCCATTGTTCCCCACTGTACCCCATAAACCCCATAGCCCCCCACTGTACCCCGTAACCCCCATAGCCCCCACTGTACCCCATTGTTCCCATAACCCCCATAGCCCCCCACTGTACCCCATTGTTCCCATAACCCCCATAGCCCCCCACTGTTCCCCGTATCCCCCCACTGTTCCCCACTGTACCCCATAACCCCCATAGCCCCCCATATCCCCCCACTGTACCCCATAGACCCCCATATCCCCCCACTGTACCCCATAACCCCCCTATTCCCCCACTGTTCCCCATAGCCCTCATAGGCCCCCATCATACCCCACTGTACCCCATAGCCCCCCATATGCCCCATATCCCCCATGGACCCCCATTATACCCCACTGTACCCCATCCCCCCCATATC